CCGCAAAAAGGTGTAAGGCGGAGCATGGAGGAATTAGCGTGTTTCACGGTCCTGTATCTCCATTCCTGGGCATGTTTGGGCGGGGGGACCACGACACATCGACAGCTGGGGGGCTGATAGTCTCATACACCCTCAATGTGTTTGAGCGTACCATGTGTCTTTAAGTGGTACGTTCATGAAGGAAAAAGCGAGGGAAACCGTAAAAAAGGCCCCAAATAAGATTTCATCTACTGGATGAAATGACGAGTTATGTGAAATTCCGGCAAGATCTCTGAATCTGGCCGCCGCGCCTGCTACTGACTCTCCAAAACAAGTTCGACAAAATTTTTTCCTCCGAACTCTTATCGCCGCCAACGAGACTTGATAACGAGAAATCGATCAAGCAGGAACTAGTTCGCGGAGGCGGAGGCAGCTCATCTCAGCTGAGCCCATCTCCGTTTATCAAGCGCTTCCGAGTCGAAGAAGCAAGACATCCTCTGTGAAAGCGCACTCCGCCTTCTTCTACAGTAGAGGGTTTCTGCACATTGGTTGATTGCGGGCGCTGTGTTAAAGGCAGTTGGCACGATAAATCCCCAGAACGACTAGGATCAATACTCCTGGCAGGATAGAATTCCGCGACCTGGGCAGGCGCTGCATAGCGGTTTCCCCGAGGAAGGTGCCCTTATAAGGGCCCTATCAAGCCACAACTTTACGTCCCAAACGCCCGCCACGCCCGCCCGCCCACAAATGGACGACCGTTCCTGACGCTCGTATTCATTCATTTGCTAAGCAAATTATGAAGCGAAGGGATTGGTATGAAGCGGCCGTGATGCTGCATGCATACATGGGTACACATATGCAGCCGTATCTTCGGTAAGATGCCTACGGGAAACTCGTCCGAAATCGATTTACAAGTCACTGAGAACGGAGGCTTTTTCTTCGCAGGATTTTGACCGTTTCACTCCGTTCTTTCGCCATTTCCCCACTATACAGCGCCCTACTAGCATTTTAGGCTAAGTAGGAAACCATCGTGCCAACTGCCTTTAAGTGAACACTTCGTTCAGCCAACTTTTCGACCCTCACGTCCGTTTCAAAGACCTTGTGTTCCGTGAGCACTGTAGCGAAAGCTGAGCCCAGTCTGTCAATGTAGTGACTGCCCGTGCCCTGCGCTATACTCGAGCGTGCAAATCAGCATTCCTTCGAAAGAATTAACCACTAAATTTATTTTCGCACTTTCGTGAGAATTGGTAATTCGACAGTAATGTTATCACGCTTCAGCTGTTCAGGGTACTGAGTCGATTTGCTTCAATCTATTTTATTCCCACAATTCAAGGCTTGTCCCAAATAAAACGTGCATCAAAATTAGTCAGAGTATCTCCGGCAAACAACAGAAAAGAAATGAGCAGTAAATTGCACTATAGCTATCAAGTGCTATCTAAAAAATTTCAAACCGTACTCAACGAGGGAACAATGGAGTAACATCGATTCTATTCCTGCAGTAGTACAAACAATCTTAAAACAACTATCTTCTTCACGTAAAACACTCCTATTCAGATTTTGTCGTCCTGCAGTTGCTCCTGTGAAAATGGCAAAATTTCACCTTGCAATGCGGATCGTCGCCCATTCGCTTTCCATTCTCGTGTATGGTTCCAATCAAGAAATATTGCACCTAGTGAGAATCACTTCTAGATTGTATAGAACTGCGAAAATATGTCAATAGACGAAAGCTTACCTCCAGCTAAAATTGGCCAAATGTACAGGGAAATACGCTTCCTCACGTGGTAAAACCATGATTGGGACGCCAGGATTTCTGAAATAAGCTTGAAATGTCACAAGTAAGTATGACCATGTTGCAGAGGTACGAACGATACTCATAGCCCACATGGTGAGCTGCATGGATATATGTTCTTCATAAATCCAACACTCGTGATAGGCAACAACACCAACTATTTTCGAAGACGTCAACAAGTTTTGAAACAGATGACGTGAATCACGTACATGACAGGATGGAAGCAGAATTTCGACGATTAAAGAGCTCGTATGTCCAAAGCGGATCAACCGCAGTTGCAAGAAGAACCGTCATCTCAGACTGTGTTCAGACTTCGCGATCGCGCGATCGGATCGCTCGACTGGGTCGCACGATAGCCAAGTCTGAACGGTCTTGCCTGAGTTCCAAGGTTCTGGTCCCGTTCACGCCAGTAGAGCATTTCTCGCTTCAGAGTTACCAGGTTATAACAGAAATATCTGGTGAAGAAAACAACCTACTATCTAAATAAACAAATATCTGAAAATGAACCTTAACACCTCTTAACTTGTTGTGTAGGCCATTTATATAGTCAAACCAGTCGGATCGCACGGCTGCCGCCGTGCTCTCCTCCTTCTTGAGCTCGGCTTCGCCGAGCTGGCCTGGCCTGGCTTCGCCAGGCGGCACCATAATTTTGAGGGAACTTTTTCGGTAGTGCGCTGCTCATAAGGCGCTGTAGTGATCGAATCGTAACAGACAGAGCAAGGCTTAGGATCCCGCACAACTCAGCACGCGCTTCTATTTACAGCAGCGGTGTAGTCCGCGCCATGACGCCCATAGAATACATAAATCTGTAGATAGATACAATGTGTAGTCGGCCAATACAGCGCAATATGAATCGCTCAGTGAAATAGCAGATTTCGTTTCCATTACCTGCACCGGAATGCCTACCGACGAACGCTTTCCTTTTCAATTAGCATGCGATCCGCTCGTTGAAGTGTTTTTCGGTTCTCCTCGAATTTCCTGTTTCAGGTACCCCCCCCCCCGCCCCGCCCGCGCTCGTCGACATCGACATTATATAGTAGGATGAGTTCATTTTCTAGGGCTATCAGGGAAGTGATGGCTAAAGGAAAAGTATGCACACTGAGCCTTTGATACTTGGGGGTATAGTGATAAGAGAGGTAATGATAATGGCCCCTTATCCTTTCTTATCAATTGATAAGATCCTGTCACCCGTCATCAATGTCCCTATCACTAAAACTCTATAATTTGGTAGTGTAAAGGCTCCAGCAATTTGACTGAACAGCATTGGCAACGTTCCTTATCAGCCCCTATCAGCTGTTATCACCTCACGTGCCGTGTCCCCATCTCCAACTCTATATCATTTTCTGAAATTAATGCCTAGCTGATGCTGTGTTCCGCGTTATGAGTATGGTGACCTTACCATTCTAACTCCCCTTATCGAATCCTATCAGTTGCTATCATTCCCTGTCACCCATCAATAATGTTCCTGTCCCACGTCCTATATCATACCTTGGAACCAATGTCCCACTGTTACTGTGTCCCGCACTATGGACTCGGTCTGCACCCTCCCTTCTGACGCCTCTTGACGGATCTTATCAGCTGCTATCATTCCCTGTCACCCATCAGTAATGTTCCTGTCCCACGTCCTATATCATACCTTGGAACCAATGTCCCATTATGTGTCCCGCACTATGGGCTCGGTCACCCTCCCCTTCTAAGGCCCCTTATCGAATCTTATCGGGTGCTATCACATTCTATCACCCACCAAAAGTGTTCCCGTCCTGCCATGTATATCACTTCTTGAAACTGTCGTCCTATCTTTTCTGCGACGCTCGCTATGAATTTCGTGACAGACAGACAGACGCACACACACACACACACACACACACACACACACACACACACACACACACACACACACACACACACACACACACACACACACACACACACAGACATACTTAGCGGATTATATATAGTAGGATGTTCAGTGACCCGAGACTGCGTTCACATTTTGCTTCATTGTTTTGAGCGACTAATACAGTTTAGGTATCGTCTAATCAGAGCGTACGCCCGCATTTTGTTGCTGGTTTGCTCAAGCTCAAAATAATCGCGAAAACGCTCAAAGTAGATATATCTAAGTTATCGAAACGCTCAAAAACGTGATGTAAGCTCACGCAAAGTAGTGTTAGCCTTACTGTCGTTATACGAGTTCATTATCCAACTATTCGCCTCGAATAGCACCAACGTCCGCTCACTTCGCTGCGTTTCTAGCCGAACATGGTCTTTCTAGCCCTGAACTCACAAAAATCTTGTCGCGGAATAATGCGCTCTGAATTCCATGGGAGAGGCTGACGATGAACCGAATGAACAACAATTTTTACACTGGAGAAAAGCTGAAACTCTACGCAAAACTGTAACTAGTGAAAGATTTTTGCAACCTTCATGACGAAAATTTCGATGTATCGTGTAAATTGCGGACACACACATATTAGGCGTATTTTCCCATTTGCTCTCGTTTCGCTCTATATTCTTGTTCTCGTTCAAAACACTGGTGCCCAATATGATTGAATCCGTTCTTGGCGTCAGATATCGCTAAATCTTCTATTTCCATCTTCAGCTGAACGTCTTGCATACTAGCTTTGAAGCTCCGATTTGGCAGGTGATTATAGATTTTCTACTTGACGTCGTAGTACATGTGAAGGGTACAGAGTACAACGGTAAATGAGAGCAGTGATGCTGAAATATGTGACCTGGGGTTCAATCAGCGGCTTTAAAGGTAAAAGAGACACTCCATAACGACCTCAATAAGAACGAGCTATACAATCATGCGACGAAGATAATATAAGTTTCGTTTTGTTTTTGCTTGTTGATGTTATTATTTCCTTTCAACTCTTTTCTCTTATCACCTCATTTTCGCCATCTTTTCCATTCCCTGTCTTGTCGGATTGCAAGGTGGGCGCTACCCACCCGCGTAGGGTAGAGAGCATCTTGGGTTACAAGCTCAAAGCGCCCATTCCGCGTTTTTTTTTCGCGTAACGAAAGCAGCAAGTACAAGTCAGCTGAGGATCTGCGCTATATGAGCAGTATGCCTAATACCTAGTCGTACGTCTTCTCTTTAAGGAGGAAGTTTTAATTGGATGCTCACCAGGAATGTCCTTTGAAATATTTCGTCTCCCTAATGCAGAAACAAGACGATATTGCCGATGGACCAAATTTTCATTGAAACCTGTGGCAATCCCTAATTCCAGATATGTCGTCATTAGACGATGATGACGATATCATATTCATAGAAGAGACCTTCTGCTCATCAACAACCCAGAGAAGGTCCCCGCTAAGGATCCCTTCAGATGCGCCTGGTCCCAGCAACAGTAGTAAGTTTTATTCTGGTACCTTTCCAACTTCGTGAGCTAGCACGGAAAGATCCGAGCTACAGTCTCACTCGGGCCCCGAGAACGTGCTGTCTCCTAATGAGTTTGTTGTTGTCCTTGTGGATCCGTATCTTAAGACCCTGTCACAAATTTTTGTCACCTTCAGAGCTTAGTTACGCTGATATCATATATTTTTCTACAACTCATGCAATTTCAGTGCCATTTTGTGAAGAAGGTGGGAGCGGTCCCGGTAAAATCATGAGGTTGGATAGTTACGAGCGGCTCTTGAATGTGGAGGAATTAATCAGCTCAAGGAAATCGTTCGAGAACAGGTGACTGAATAAGCGCTCTCGAGCTGCGTTCATGCTTTGCGACAGGAGTGTGGGAGACGATTCGACAGAACCTGCGTTCTCTTAAAACGTTCTCTTAAAACGTCGATATGCTAACGGGGTCGGTCTACCTCCCTTCACTCTTTTACACATAGGCGTATCGATGCCCAGCCGCTCCATTCTCTTGAACGCCTCTCCAGTTCTCCTCTTCTCCTTTTCTCTAGTCGCAGAGTACGAACGCAGCCCAGAGAACTGCTCATATTTTAGGAGGCCTTCTCCACTGAAAGTATCGGAAGTGGAACTCTTGGATAGTGAGTTTCAAGAAGTTCAGTGCGTTGATGAGGAAAAGTACGACGAGGTTTGTGAACGCCGTAGGAGCTGTTTTCGAGTGCTGTATTAATGTCATGTTTAAGCTTTCAGGGAAAAGGAAAAGGAAGGCACCGAAGAAGAAGGTTCTAACTGAAGCTCAACTTCAGAAGCAGGTATTGAATTTGAAAGCTGGACGCCTTATCAAATTCAAGTCATGAGCTACCTTAATTTTTAATTTTGAATTTATCCTTGAAGGCGGAAAAGAGGCGTAAGGCAGTTGAGCGTGAAATCAGTGCATCAGTGAAGTCCAAGTGCGAACAGCACATGTACTGCCATGTCAGTCGAAGGATTTTTGATGAATTTCGTGAGTTTTTTTCATAGCGGTCGTGATAGAAAATATTAACATGTTTCCTTTTTCTATTTCGGTCCGGAATTCAAATCTCGGATCAGCTCTCACGCAGGCAACCAGGCTTTCTACCCTCAGGGAACTGCAAGTTAATACCAGATCCATCGCCAAAGGATACGGATACTGACCGGTACATCGGCTGGCCCCGCAAGTCATCGTGAAAACCACTTCCCCATCAATCACTCACAGCGATTGATAGAACCAAGATGCATTTATCCTTTTTTATGCTTTTTTTTCTGCTAAGTTAGGCCTTCTTTTTCTGTGCGACTGAGAAAATGATGAAAAACGACCCAGGAAGTAACATGGATTGCGCTACACTCATCTGTCAAATTGTAAGGCTGTGTTCGATCCTTGACTTAAGCGTCCACCAGCGTATTGAGCGTGCGTCAGCGCCAGCGACTAGGAAAGTATAGCTATCAATCTAGCGCCGGCGTGTACCAGCGTACAGCAGCGTTTTCGTGGGCATTTTGCTCAAGTTTTAAAGAGCTTACGAAAGCGCTGCTGTACGCTGGTGGACGCTGGGGTTGCCAGATCGGCACCTTTAGTTCCCTAGTCCCCCGAGACGCTGGTAAACGCTAGCACTTGCTTCGATATTTACTATTTCCTAGTCGCAGACGCTGGTGGGCGCTGGCGTTCGCTGGTGGACGCTGCCGCAAAGTGTGAACGCAGCTTAAAGGCACATTCCGCGATAAAATAAGGCTATGACCTCTCAAATGTGTCGGACGATCCGGAAGGCGATTTTTGAGGCTGCGCTACTTTCAAAATGTGAAAAACGGCAAGAACTCCGCTAGAAGCTGACTAATTAGGCCCATGGACACCCCTTAGGCCCATGCCGACCCTCACCGGCTGCTAGCTACTAGCTAG